TTCCAAACGAGCCTCCTCTCGATCCCCAGGAGAAAACTACAGAAGTGTTTTCTCAGGAACATGCTCGTTAAAACCTCCTGGTCAGAGCTGCAATAGTATCTGGAATCACCCAATATGGGGAATGCACACAAAAAGTGTAAAGCTGTCTTTGCCTTCCCCTTTTCTAAGACCACAGAAAGTAACAGCTACAGTACAGGACACCCATTTCTTGATCTCTGACATGCATTACCACTTAACGTCCTTTACGCCGTTAAGATTTTGCTGATAGTTCATTCTGAAGCTGGAAATGAAACATGAATCTAATGTAAGCAAAAATAGTGGTGGCTCCACATGTAGCTTCTAAAAGCTAACAAATCCCATGGACAAAGAGTGAGCAAGTTGCAGGGAGACAGTAAATAACCAAGTCTCATTAGAAAAATCCCTGTTCTTTTTTTTTTTTTTGGTGCAAGCAGAAGAAAGCAGCATGGAGCTGCAAATATGGTTCCAGCAGAACACTAGGTGCTTTGTACTGGAGTCATTCAAAATGTCACTGACTATCAGCACTCTCTCTGTTACTTCTATAGTTAGCATTTCAGTCATGTTTTTTTCAGAGCTGCTGTGCCTCATGTGATAACTAGTATGGTAAGTACAGTTGTTCCTTTTCTTCAGCAAGCACCACAGCAGTAATTCCTGATGAGATTGAGCCATCAGGTGACAGAGTATGCTGCAGACATCCCACCAAACCTGCTCAGGGGTATGGCACAAGCACCTAATATGACATGTAAGTTCATTCTCATCTCCTTCCCCTTGCAGCCACAAATGTGACCTGTGACATGTCCATCGCCATCCAGCTGTTGTGTACCTTCTGGCTGAAGCTACAGAGACGGGACCAAGATCCATACCCTTGTTATTGGACCTAAGACTTGGACCAGACCCCATGGAATAATTTCCTATGTAAAATGGAAGGCATTCCTCCTGTATTATAGAGGCTTGGGGCCTATTGCCAACCAGAAACCATTTCTTTTTCTCAAGATGTAACGAATTTGTGAAGAGACCATGATCATGTTTAAGAAACCTGGGCAGCAAGACACTTAGAACAGTTAGCTTTACTTCCCATTAAACATTTCTCTGGTAGCTACTCAGACTATGCAGCCTTTAGGCTTCTATTTTATTTTTTACAAGAAAGCCCTTATTTCCTCAGTAGGAAAGAAAGGACAAGTTATGAAGATTGTATTTTATATAAAATAAAAAGTAATTAAACAAAGTAATAAAAGTCACTGCAGAGTTTGCTGCAGGACATACAATCCAACAGCCTCCAGTACTTGGAAGGATATGATGAGATCAGGGTATGCTTTATTGTTTCTACCTGAGCACTAAGAAATATATGAAAAAAAAAAAAAAGACAGAAAACTCCCCAGTTTCTTCAGAATCTTGCAAAGTTTCATACTGCTGTCTCTCATTACAGACATGTCAATCATGCAAAGACCTTTATAAAACAAAGACTTCATCTTTTTTTTTAATATATAATTTAACTGAAGAACTTCAGAATTATTTGCAACATGAGATAGCTAGCTAAAAGATTGTTTTATAAAACCTTTGACAAGTATGAATATAATAACACATAGATCCTTCAAAACCTGCTAGACTCTGCCTATGCAGAGTGCCAGACTTCCAGTTTGTGCTGATCAGTAAATGCAGTCTCATGGGTTTGGGCTATTTGGGACTCGAGTTTCAGATTCTATTAAGAGCACAATTTAAGGCTTTGTTGTTAATTGTTTCAGAAGAAACAATCACTCCTCAGTTCAGGATTAAAAACTAGTATTTGTGTTTAAACAGACATTTCAAATTTTTGTGTTAATACCAGGTGAATGTGCTACTTTCAGAAGCCAGTGAACAGTAGTTCACATACTGAGTACTGTAGCAGATCTTTTTTTATTTCTGTGATGTTTTGAATGTGCACTGAATGCTTATATTTTTTGTTGCTTTCACTTTCCAAACCTCCTGATACTGTTTATCAACATAGAAGGGACTTTTCCCACTATTTTGGCAACATGAATCTGGCTGTATGACAAATACATAAGGCTTAAAAGTAGTAGATTTCTCTGCTGCTTACCCGTGAATATGATGATACCATCTTGTTATGATCATAAAGCTCTATATACAAAACATTCTCCAGTTTTTCTTTGCAATTTATCACTGCCAGCCTACACTAATCCTACTACATATAGTTATTTGCTTATTTACTGTATATACCATTTAGGAATTGTAGTGGTCTGCATGTTACATCTCTAGCCACTTACAGTGGACAGTGCTAGCTTACACTAATTTAACTACTCGCACTCATTTTGTGCTACAGGTAAAAACAATTGTCTACCTTTTGCAAAGAGATGTGGAAGCAAATAACAAGCAAGGCAGCAGAGTAAATCACTCCACGTGGAGGGTTTCCAGCCTGCCTGGTGCAAGGCTGTGCCTAGTAGCACCTCCCTGCACCCAATGGCAAGCGGAGCAAGAGTGAAGGTGCTGCAGATGATGGCCACTGTCACACCTGGTGGCACCTCAGACCAGTGTCATGGTGATAAGCTGGTTCCACTAGAAGTGTGTGTGGGTTTGGTTTGTTTTTCTTTGAAGACTGATTTTTCTGGAAGTGCAGGAACTGAAGCTGGAAGCAGTAACTCTATTGTGAGAGCACTGCTCTGCCTGTAACAAAGGCTCTGTTGTGTTGGCATGCAGCACAGTGCCCGAAGCTCAGGATGTTTCAGCCTATTTACTTTTATTTGTGTTTGAGTAAATCTGGCATAGCTGCTGGAGAATAATAGCATATATTGGGGCCCGTTTTAATCAAATGGGTCCTTGATACAAAAATGTACTGTGATTTCTTTCTACTGGTAGTTTGCGTGGCAAAGGCAATTAGCTGCAACTCTGAACTGCCCATATGACCTTAAACAACGTTAATCACCTCAGATTCTGTCCTGGCAAATCACTCTGCAGGGTGTACACAGAAAAGCAAAGTCAGAAAACCTGTTACAACATCTCAGTACTCAAACTAGCACAGCCACAGCCAGAGTACAAACGAGAGTGACTTGTGGGTTGCTCTGTCTTAGAGCACTGGAAGCCACTGCAAAAGTTCTGCCCCTCCTCTCTGCAGAAGGAGAAGCCTCGCTCAGTCATTGAGATTGCTGTTGTGACCAGGAAAATGGAGGCGAAGGTGGGTCTATGTCCTTCTGGACTAAATTTGTCTTCTCTCAAAAGTAACTATGAGAAATTTTATTAGGATTAATTAGTTTGTGTACTGAAATGTTTGAGATCCACAAATCAAACCAAAAGCAACAGAAGTACACAGTCTTGTCATAAATAGCTATGTGATAGGAATGGTACACAGAATGTAATGGCTGCAATGTGGAGGCTTTTAGAAGTGTGGAATAACAAAGAAAAAGGTATGGCAGTCAGCAGTAGTTTTTCCCTTTGTTGATTTCAGTTTTGCTCCTTTTAAAGAATAAAGATATATGTGCAGTGACTTCCATTGAGTTGTCACTTGTGCTGGACATCGGTGCTGGGCATCAGATCACTTATCTAGTGTTCTGACATACTATTTGTCCTACAGTCAGAGATTACAAAGTTACACCCTGTGGGATCTTAAGTAAATGTTGATAAATAATGGAAGTTTCTTCCTGTTGTCTTACCATCTCACCGCAAGTATGCAACAAATAAGCATAAATATAGAAGAGTGAGCTAAAAGTTGCACCTGGTGCTTTCTTAAACCATCAGTGTGCATGCTTAAATTATTGTTTCCTCTTTTAATAAAGTACAAAATAACTTCTGTAGTTCTCTACAGCAATTACTTTTGGTGGGAAGCTAATGAAGATCACTTATGTCTGGTTATCTCTACAGATTGTTTGGAAAGGTGGTGTGTTTTGTTTTTTTTTGTTTTTTTTTTTCCCCTCTTCTTTTGCTGCTGCTGTTTGTATTCTTCCATGAGAGAAAGATCCAACAGAGAAGGTATGTTTTCGAGGCTGACAGGCCTTGGATGATAGGCCTCCTCTGAAAATTTTAATGACAGTTCTTTAGCTCTTGCATGTCCAGTGGGTTGTGTTGCTGAGAGCGGGACAGCTTTGTGAGTCAGCAGAGGCCAGGGATGAGGTCAGTACCACAGGTGTGCTCCGATGGTGACAATGATGCTGAGGGCAACTGCTGCAGCAGATGTTGACCGACAGCCATCAGAAAAGGGGGCAAATAGCGGTTGTTTTGCAAACTGTGCTTTGAGGGGAGAAACCAAGCAGTTGCAGTCTATGTGAGATAGTTTTCATACTTGGAATGGGATATAGTAGATGATACGAAGTTGCTCTGCAAATAACAAGAGCAGAATTACTGTTAAGGTAAGACTTTGCAGAAGCTAATGGACTTTTTTTTTTTCTTTTTAAGAGCCATTATGTAGCCTAAAAATGATGTGTTCAGCAGGAAATTTAAGACTGACAGTAACTTGACCTAGGGTGGCTAGACTGAAAGCAAGAGAAGGGTCCTGGCTGGCTTTCCTCACTGCGTTTCTTTCCACGTTTTTGCTTGTGTTTTAATCTCGGAGGGACAGTTTCAGGATGTTTGTCCGGGAGCCCGGACAGACTGTAGGGTGATAGCTGCACTCTAGGGGAAACAAAATGCGCGTGGTGTTGTGATTACGGGCAGGCTGAGGGCGCAGGGCCGCAGGTGGGCGCCTGAGGCCCTCAAGCAGCAGCGTTCACCTGGGATCGACCGGACCGGACTCAGCGTGCGCTCCTGTCGCCAACGAGCAAAAGCACAGCTGTTAGCCACCGGGCTGCCGGTGCCGAAAGGCCTTCCGTCCGCCGGGCCGCAGCCTGCCCTAGGCCGGCTGTTTGCGGTGGCCCCGCAGTTGCCGGCGGGCGGTGCCTGGCGGGGCCGAGGCCTGCGGGGCGCAGCGCGCTCTAAAGCACCCTTTTTCTTAAAGAATTCGAACGAGTACATGGAAGCAAAAGCAGAGACAGTGGAGAACGATTTTTTTTTTTGAGTTTTTGTCATATTTTAATGAGCAAAATTGGTAAGGCTTACGTGGAGGGGTATTAGTAGATGCTTTTGTCAGTTGTTCGTTCATTTTTCTTCATCCCAAAGGAAACACTGGTCCTCTGCGTTTTTAGTATTTCACTGTCTGCATTGTCCTAACAATTGGATGTTGACTTTGTTCACGTATTAAAATGCACTGTGATGAGGAAGTACTGGGTTTTTTTTCTTGCCCTTCTCCATTCTGTGACATTGTCTGCTAAGAGTCAATGTATAGTAAGTAATGAGCACTATTATTACATTGTAGGAACAGTGATGGTGATGAACTTCCACACTAATAAGGGTTCTCATTGTTCTTGAACGAGTTGTTCTAGTCCTAGTCCTATTGTCTATACCAAGCAGAAACTTGAGGAGTAGAAAAGGGGGAAGGTGGACCACAGAACTGAAGCTTGGTCAGAGGGGTCTACTGCTTGCTGGTAAGGTGCTGATTGTGCTTTGATCTGTCAGGGAGGGTATAAACCAAAACACAAAACCCCACTAAAACTAGAAGTAATTGCTAGTGATAGGGTTTAGGATTTTTCACAATTCTTTACATCATAGATCGCTGCTTGAAGAATCCTGTAAAATCACCTGTTTTTCCTGAAGTAGTATGCTAATAGATGATATTTTATTTGCAGTTTAGATGATCTGTAGCATCGGTTTTCCTAGAAACAAAAGTTAAGAGAAGAAAATATATGTGTATTTAAATTTCTTATAAGAAACAGTGCCATGATGTCTCCTGGAGTTGTAGGCTATAATTCTAAATTGGCCGTGGTATCACATTTCTCAGTAAAGCTCACTTAAACAGGGGAAATGTACATAGTTTTGTTTTTTTCCAGCAACGGTTAAAGGAGTTAGGCGAAGTTCAATTTCAGCTGGCTATTGCTTGGGAGTGGTAGTAGGGAGGAAAACTGGAGGTATTTCTGGAAGAGACTGGAGGGTGATCTTTAATATACTGCTACATACCTGTCAAGAGTCCCTAGGAATAGAGTATGAAGAGGAATTTCCCAGTGACTGAGTGGCTGGGGAAATACAGAACACCTTCAATAGGTAGCTTCTAATAAAGTAGGCAAAGCCTACCCTAGGGTCATGTTGGGATAAGAAATGATGTTGAAGGATTTCTACTGCATCTCTTGTTCAAGCTGTCTTCAGCACTTGGTATTGATACTCTTGTTCCTGAGCTAGAGGTGTGTACTCTTGCCTTCTCTACATCTTTTTGAGGCTGCTAGTTTATTTGCCTGACTAGAAAACTTCTGGTAATACAAGGTTTTTCTAATTTAAAACTTGCCGTGAGAGAGATTACTGTAATGACTGCTGCATCTGAGTTAACTGTAAAACCTATGAAATGTGTTTAGCATCTTGGCTTCGCCTGTAACACAGTATGCACTAGTTTTGAGTTTTTGGGTTTTATTGTGGGTGGAATTTTATCAGTTACAAGGTTTCATGCAAGTCTTAAAGCCTTTGCTGAGGTTTTATGTTTGATGCTTATCTCTTCTGCGTTTTTAAGGGACTATTTCCTTTTTAAAATACAAATTATAATTTGCCTTTTTTAATTTTATAGCAGTGATTAAGTTAGTTTTAGGAATACCTTATTCCTCTCTTCACAAAACCCACTAACACTGTTCTTGTTTGGATTTTGCCTAAAACTGTGTGTATATTACCTCTGACTGAAAGCATACTACAAGGATTCTGGTTCTTGTTACTTTCCCACTGTTTCCGGTGCTGCCTCAGGAGCATTGCCTGCTAATTATAAACAATGTTGATGTCTACCATATGTTTTGGTAGAAAATATGGGATTCCTGCTGTCCCACTCAACTGGAATGTCTAGCTTACAAGTATTTGTAAATATATAATGGAAATGTTGACTCTCTTATCATGTAACTTTGTAATAAACCTTGGTTTTCAGCCTCCAAGGAAATAAAGTTTTAGATTGAGTATTAACATCTAAAAATATGGTCAAATACTTTGTTCCATTTAAGTTTGCAGAACCCTGGATCCAGAGCTCAAACTTGTCCCTAACAGACAGTGTTGCGTTCCAGTACCAATGGTAAGTAAGAGCAATCTCTTCCAAGAATAAGATCTTTAAAATTTTCATGCAATGTATTTGGTTCTTAAGAAGTTTTGACACTGATGAATACACTGATTAGAACAGTATCTTCATGACTGATTTTGCACAAGCTTATTTAGTCAGCAGGTTATGCCTTCTTTAACTTACCTGCTTTACTTTAGGTTTGTCTTGTGACTTTTAAAAATCTTTAAAAGGTGCTACAACATAATCAAAGCTTCTCATACTAAAGTTATGTTATCTAGTTTGGCTTAGATAAAATAATGCAGCTTGTGTTACAGCATCTCACTTTGTCTCACACAGAGTAGTTTGCAGATGTACTGGAGGATGTTTTAAGTCTAAGACTGCAGATATGTGAAATCTAATTTAAAGAGGGGGCTGTGGTTGTGGGTAAGAGTAAGGAACGAAGCTTTAAAAGCATTGAGGTAGATTGTTGCTGCTCTGATGGAGTTGGTAAGCTTGTGCACGGAAGAGAAATGAGAGATGAGCACCTTGAGTGAGCAAATAGAAGAATACACTAGCAAAGCCCTTTAGACTAAATGAGAGTGAGGGTTTTTTTAAGTGAGGATAGCCTTATGGCAGACTCTAAACTCGACAAGGAAGCAAGTGAAAATCAATATGGAGTGTTGTTTTCCTGTTTCTAGGTGAGAAGATGAGCTGCTGCTGCATTTTGGACAAGCTGAAGTTTGGAATGCTGGGACATAAAGAACCCGTTAAGAAGGAAATTACAGTAGTTAAGAGGAGATGAAGGTATGACTTAGGGCTTTGCAGAATCAATGATTCAAGGGAGATAGATGTATTAGACACGTGAGAATTCAGAGCAAAGCTAAACTCCTACTGTGGTGGCAGAGTTGAATTTGAGATGTGCTCTTAGAGAGATATCACAAAGAGTAAGGGTTGACCAGACCAAGTAAGGCTGAAAAGCCCAAAGGTGTTGAAAGCATAAGATAAATGGATTTGATGTTAGCTTGATGGTTTGGTCATTAAACGATATGTGTGGCTGAACTTGAGAAAATAAATGGGCCTTCTTGAGGGAAGGGGTCAGGATGGACACATAATATGTGGATGGAAGGTGCCAAGGCTCATCTACTTTTCAGTGTTGGTAAAAGTGATGGTTTCTTTCTAATCAGTATACCCTCAATGCAGGTTGCCTGATTTCTCTCTGCAAGCATGGTATTTGCTAATTCTTTCATGTTACATTCCAATTTGACCCTAGTAAATAGTATCAGTGGCAAATGTATGAGTTACATCTATGCAGGATGCTTCAGGTAGCAGGTTAGAGAGCTTGATTTTTACATTCTCTGAAGCATGTGACTATTTCTTTAGGGTAGTGGAATGCTACATGCTTTATTTTGAGGGGGTGGGAGAAAGGGAGAGGTGCTGTGGTTACTGCAGGTGGTTGCTGTGGCCAATTTAATTTGTGGTTTGCAGCTGAAATGCACAGATGTCTTCAGTTTTTCTACTCATGTTTAAAATTCAGAACAAGTTAAGGAAAGATTTCTTTTGCGCACAGTAATCCAAGGGCAGCATAGATAATTTTTATGTTGTATAGCGATGAATTTTGTGTAATTCTGAAATATTTTGAAACTTAAAATGTGACTGAACAAGATATTTATGTACCGGATCTGGCACTTTTCAATTGCCTCTACTTGCATGTTCAGTTAAAATTAGCAAAGTTCTCAAATTACTTATTCCCTATGAAGGGATTTTTACTGTTATCCTCATTGTGTCTACTTTGTGTGTTGTTCAGTGAATGTGGGGAAAGCCACTACAAAAAATACGGAGGAAATTGTTCAAGATATTTCAAGGTCCACACAAAATCTTACTCTTGAGCTGGAACTTTTTGGTCAGATATCAAACCCAAAGTTTTAGAGATTTGTAAACAGTCTTTTTGTAGGCCTCATTTGTTTTCTTGTTTTGGGTCAGTTTTCTCCATCTAAAAAAAGATGACTGCTTTTGTGCCTGCTACACTTATGTATGCACCCCCCTGCCTACTTTTCCTCTCAGACAATTCATTGGCCTACCTCCTGTACCTCCCACCACTAGATAGCTTTTGGTTTAGCATTTCTATTTGCTTCTGTTCAGCTGTAGTGTCACTATACTGAGCTGAGGACTGATTCCTGAGGGCCTGAGCCACAGCACTCATAAACAATGCCAAGTATGTGTATTGTTATGAAGTTGTAGATTGTTTTCTTATATAAATGTTGTAAAAGGAACAAGAAGTTCTAACCTTGCACCCCAGAGGAAAGTTTTTTGCTCCAAACTGCCAACAGTTACACTCATCGGTGCAGCTGTTTGTCTTTTGACTTGGCAGCTTATGGCCCAAATTGTCCAATCTCATTCCTCCTACTGTCTTATTTAGTTTTAGGAAGTACTGAAGGCATAAGAGCTCTCTGATTTTTTTCATCACAAACTGGTTTTGGACAGTTCCTTCCAGAACCTGTGAGAAGGTACTAATTTCCTCCAGTTCATTCCTGCAGGATTTTGATTTTTTTCTTTTCTTTTAGTAGCAGGAGCTAGAAGAGGACTGCTTAACTTTATTTTCCTATTCATTGATTATTTTTCTCTCCCCCAACCCGTGACTCAAAAATTATTTATGTAAGAGAATTTACAATCTGTGTGATTTCTGAATTTCCACAAGTTCTCTAAGTAAAAAGAGCTGAACCTGAGATTTGTTTGGGTTTTTTTTTTATGGGTCTTATGGAAGTGTGACAATAAAGAGGAAACATCTGTGCTATGCTTTGGACGTAGCATTTCAGTTGACCTATTGCTATATAGAAAGTGGTGGAAGAAGCAACCTCCCAAATTGCATCATGTTGCATATTCTGTGGTCACTTGATGCTGTGAAGTGAGTTGAGATGATACCAGATGACTGCAACTTCTGTAGTTTTGGCTGCTTGTTGCAAGGGAAGGCATAAGGTAGATCAGAGTCTTCTGTTGCCTGTAGTTACATCCCACAAGGTTGAGCTATAGGGTTCTTTAGAAAGATGAACATGGGGTCTCTCTCTGTAAATGTGGCAGAAAAGGAAATGTGGAGATGCATCAAAAACTCCTGGCTTATCTCAGCATGACTGTGAAAAAACCTGTGACTTTTCTCTACTATTCTAGATTAAGGAGGCCTAAAAACTCTTGTCATTTAACATACATGTGTTTGGCTTGACCTGAGGCTAGAAGGGGGAAAAAAAATCTCTAGTGAGCTATCATTTTGTATGTCATGTGTTGTAGCATCATTACAGGCTTCATTCTGCATGTATTCCTTTGGGTTGGAGCAAGACTGCAGTCTGTGGACATGGCCTTTGAATCCAAAGAAGTGCTGCTCTTTGAGAGAGTGCTATTTGCTGCACAGTATCCTGTGCTTGCCCTTCTTGTATGAAGAGACCAAGGTGTTGGTATTGTGTTTCACAGCTGTGTGTGCAGAGACATTATTGTGGATCCTTAGTTATATTGTTTCTGTGCGAGGTACTCTTCCTTGTTTTCTTTCCCTCTGACACTTGCTCTAAGTGTGAGGGAAAGCTCTACCATTCTGTGAAATGAATACTTGCCTGAGATCAAAGTGAAAACTTACGAAAACAATGTCTGTCTTGGATGGCATAACCTCGCCTATTCATTTGTTTTCCATTTGCTGGTTCACTTCATTATATTGCTCATAAATTTTTTTTCCACTCTTACTTTTGATGGAATGCGGGGGAGGGGGGGAAGGGTGTGAAATGAATATGGAAGATGGGTTAAATAGAGGAAGTAGTTGACAGCTCTTCTAAATTCTGGTATTGTCTATAGTTAGAACACAAAGTGAACAAGGTAAGACTAGAATCTCCAGGCGAAAATGGGGAAAAAGAAATGGAGTTTTTCCAAGCTTAAATTTGGTATGTCAGTGACAATGTGCTTTTGGATCATAGCCTAGCAAACTGTTAACCCTAGCTTTAACCAAAAATAGAGCACATTTTCAATCTGTCCATTCATCTGCTGTCATAAGTTGCTGAGCTGGAGTACTAATTGTGTATGTAATCGAACTGACTTTGTATGGTTGTTTAATTTTAAAGCAAAATGCAAGCTTACATACTGATAAAATCTACTGAGTGGTTTTTATTTTCTTAATTCTGTAGTGTGAATTAACATGTCATGGAAGATCAGGAATATTTTCTCTGTGTACAACTTGAAAATCAGGCATAATATAAAACTTCAGTATGCCCTTTTTTAATGGATAGTTTTTACAGATAGTAAAACATAAAAGAGATGGTTGAGAAAACAAAAAACTTGCTTTGATCTTCATCTTCCCTCGATATGTGGAGTTACCTTTTTCCTGCAGTCTTGAAGGGGCCTAATGTTAAAAATTTATTAGTGCTGCTTATAATATCTTAGAGAGTAAAAACCAAACACTGCGTTTGAGTACCTAAGCTGATGTTCATCTGTCAGGTTTTATTGTTAATTGGAAACTGTCCAGCTGAGTAACCCAGTTCCATGTGCTCTTTAATTGAAGACAGCGTTAACTAATGAATGCTTACAGCCTTTTTTTAGGTTTTGGTGAGGTTTGATGTGCTGCTTAAATTACCCTGGGGTATCAGCCCTGGAAAAACCTTCATTTGTGTTCTTTGTGCCACTTAGCTGCGGGATAGATGACATCCTTTAATGTAGCTTTAAAGGAAGGTGAAAGAATAATATACATAGATAATTGTGATATTCAGCTTTCTCTGTCTTTTGCACATGGATTTTATTTTTGTGTGGGACAGATGAACTTTTTATTAAGCTGATCCAGGGAAAGTGTGGGTTAAGGCTTTGTGGGTTGAAGTAATCTGAAAAAAACTTGCATGCTGGCTTCAGTGAATGAAGCTGTTTAAATGAAGGTCTGTAATTCGGAAGTTGATTTTAAAAGAAAAACATGATTTCATCCTATATGAGGTTTTTATATTTATTTTTTTTTTTTTTTTTTTATTTTTTTTTTTTTTTTTTTTTTCCCCAGTACTATAGAATGTCTATTGTTATTTTGCTATTGTTTGTGCCTGGACTTGCAAGCTGCTGCAGTTTTGAATGTAGCTGCCCATCTGCTGCTTGGTTATTTATAGGCAGATCTGTGGAGTTCCTTCTAATTTCCCAAGTCTTCAAAAACATTAATGAATTAAACATCACAATACTATTGTAAAAAGGGAATTAGATGGAGGGACTGAATGGAGACTAAAAGGAATAAATGACTTGCTGAAAGCCATATGTATATTTCATAGCAGGACAAGGAATTGGAACCAGATTTTTTTTTTCTCCCCTAACTTTTAGTCCTGTGTTTAACAGAGCAGCTATGCTCGTTTGATACATGGTGAGGGAATGAAGTACTCAGTCTTGGAAACTTGTAATAGGTGCCTGTGAACAGACTAACCTGTTTAAAGACCTTGCACTGTGTGCTGAGAGTAGTAAATGTTTCAGGTCTAAGAAATTTGAGTAAATGTGTTTATATTCTTACTGAGACTGAATTTGTTTTGATTGTTAATGCTTTTGGCCAGTGTTTCCCACTGGGTTGCTTAGAAAACACCTGTTACTTGCAGGGCAGCTTCTCTCTAACATCTTCAGGGCATCTTGCTTCCAGTCATCTAGTTAGCGAAGTCTGATAAATTCTCCTCCTACTCTCTTTAATAGACTTTTTAAATGGTTTTAAACAGCATCTGGACATTAGTACTTAATTTTTTTTTTTGTTAGAAGAGATCAAAGATGTATCGCAGAAAATGCAGGTGATACTGATACTCTTCATCAGAAAATACGCACTTCTATGCAAAATCACATGTAGTTCTTATTGTGTGTGAGTTCTATGGTGTTTTGCGTTGGATTTTTTTTTTTAAAGAACTTCTAGAATTTTGAACTGTGAGTGAAACAATGTGATTTTTTTTCTTCCTGTAGCTTTCCAATGCCTTTCCATAGCCTAGAAATAATAGGGGATGCAGCCTACCAGGCTATGATTTGATTGGCATTGGAGTGCAGCTTGAAATATTGTTTGCACTTTTATCTGTTCTGTAAATGTTGGTTTTATTATTTGTTTACTATCTTCCCCAGCCTCTCATTCTCCTCCTAATGTATACCTATTTTATTTAAGTTTGTAGTTAAGAGAATTTTCTTCACAAGTGTTAGTTTCTGCTTAGTGGGGTGGGTTGGAAGAGTTTTCTATTTCACTAGAACACCTTTCAAATAATTCATATTTTTAATATAAATACTATGTGGGTTTAGTCTTGCCACTATTCCGTGGAGATCTTCAGAAGAATGGATACATTGTTGGAGATTAACATTGCTTTAACATTAAAAAACCTGGAAGCCCAGGTCATTCTAAGAAAGTTCAGGGAGGTTCTTCAATATAGTTCTTTTATTTCATGTTTCCTGTATACACAAGTTTGCCAGCTAGAATACTGTATGCCAGATTGTAAAAGTAGATTGCAGGTGGGCATACAACACACTGTTTCTGAAATTCAGCAAACAGATTTAACCTCTAACTTCTTTAATATCTGTAAATTTTGAGCATATAAAAGCTATGTCTTTTGTTTTGGAAGTGATAAAATGCAGCTTCCTGAAGTATTTCACTTTCCTAAAGTGAAAACTGTTCTCTTCGGTGCTCTTGTTTTTCTTCTGTAGATTTTTTTCTATTTAATGAGTCTAAATGCCTTTTTTATTGATTAATAGACACTGGATCTGTTTCTTTCAGCTAAATAGTGGTATGACATTGAGTAGCACATCATTCTTTCACCATTCTAAATTGAGAGCTTCATGGCCAGTTTAAGAGCCTGTCACTTTCACTTTGTCTTCTGAAAAAGTTAAAAAGACTTTACATGTTATTTGTAGGTTTAAATGTACTTACATTTGCTTTTTAGCGGTGTACCTTTTTAAAACAACTTTGATATCTCCCAGTGGAAAGTGGATACCTGCTCTCTTGAAATTATTTCACTTTCCAATATTAAAAAAAGACATTTATTTTAGTGTATCCTGAGATTCTTTGGAGTGTTAAAGACAGAGAAGGATGTTAAAACCTTATTTTTAAACTTGAAGTTTTTTTTCTAGTATGTTCTTATAACTTTTCTTCTAGATGAAGCACATGAAAGCTCTCACAGAAAAGAGATAATTGAAAACTTCAGGAGTTTCTGGAACAAAGGTTAGGTGTTTGAAATTACTGGCGATTGTTCTAATTGTTCTGACTCAACCTCCCTTCACTCTGAATGAACAGAATGCTTCCATTTGTTCCAGGAAATGCTGAACAAAAGAACTATTTTGATCCATGGACAGTGCCACTACTGTGGCAGAAAGCCAGGCAGTGCTTTCATATTAAATAAACTGGTCTTTTCACAGCAGTAAAGAAACATGCTCCCTAGAGTCAATAAGTTGATGCAAGTTTTTGTTCATATGTGGAAGTATGAAGATAATGAAGTGTGTGTTTGTAGGTTTGGGCTTTCTTCATTGGTTATAATAGTCATTTGTAATAATTTTGAAATATAATTTGGGGAGGAGAGGGAAAAATCATTACTAGGTATGTGCACCACATCTGAAGAAAAAAAAAAAAAACACTGCCAAACTTAAATAGCTTCCACAGGGTGGTTTGAGTGTGGTGTATGAGACAAAAGTGACTGAGTCATTCTTGAGTTTTGTGTTTTATGCAACAAATAACCTACGTATTTTTGTCTGAAGCATACATGAAGCTTTAATAGGATGCTTATTTGAGTAATTGTTAGTGCAAGCTGTCTTGGGACTCAGTTTCCTGTAAGAACTGAAATTTGTTTGTTTCCTTCTGTAATATGAAAAAATGTGTTTTATGTAATTGACGAAAATTACACTTAAATATGGAGATTTTGGGAAGAGGATTAGGAATGAACATTGTGAAGCATTACACATTGGAATAGAGAGGGATAGTAAAAAGTTGTTGAAATATTTCTGTTTAATAATAAAAATTATTCTGCTTTTTTTTTGTTTGTAATAAAACTCATTGTTTTAACAACAGAAGGAATAACTTCTGTTTTACCTCAGGTTCTCTATTTGGCGTTTTCTGTTTTCTTCTTAGATCATTTGTAGTTTTGATTCGGTTAACTCCCTGCCCCCCACCCCTCTGGAAAAAAATGTTCTATTTGTGTGCATAAGTGCTGAAGTGTCTAGATGGAGAACTTCAGGTTGCAGTTTGAAGTCCTGTGCCTGGAATTAAAGGAAAAAAAATTTTTTTTTTGATTGGTCTTTTATTTTGACTGGATATCTTGAATTGTGTATTTTTGTGAAGAATTAAGGGGGGGTTGTTATACGGATTGATTTGTGCAGATATGAACTCAGAAGAATTTACAATCAGATGCTACTTTGTGTAGGCTGGAGGAGGAGGTTGCAGTTTAAGCATCCTGTTGATTTGTCAGTGAAACACAATGCTTAATCGTAGTGAACTGCAGCTCATAATGCAATAAAAATGGAATGGGAGTAAGAAGGGATTTGGAGACAAAAGGAACAAAGCATTTTCAGTTATAGGTTAGATGTTTTTCTTTAATTGAAGACCTACAAATGGCAGGGTAATGACGGTGTCCTGGCCTGACCTGTAAATGCAGAATAATATATTTAAGTAATTATATTCCTGGTAATATGAGACAGACTATGCAAAAGTGCAACTTTATACTTATTTTACATCTGAATGACCAAGCGAACAGATGATCTACCTGTAAATTAATTGTAGTTTAATGGGGTTGGGAAATAAGACTTTTATATAAATAATCTCCATGTCCTTGGTTAGATTCTGCTTTGATTTCTTTTTTTTTTTTTTAATGATGCGTAAGAAATCTTTAATTAATGATTTACATGGAAAAATGTATATGGTAATATTTTTTTCTTCAGTTTTTATAGTACTTCAGATTTTGGTTACAGTGTTCTGTGCTTCCTTCAGAAGAGCATGGAAGTGTTTTGCCCAGTGCTCATTCTAGTTAGATGTAATTGATTTCCTGTGCTTGACACCTTTTAACTTCTTGTGTTTCAGATCTGTGAAAATCATCTGAAGTAGAATGGAAGCTTCAGTAATATTACCCATTCTGAAGAAAAAATTGGCTTTTCTTTCAGGTATGGTTTCTGTCTTCCTCAGCAGGTTCCTCCCTGTGTAATTTGGATGGGATTTTTAGGTTGGTTACTTGTATTTTCTGGATGTATTTAACAGAAATTGTTGTTGGTTAGTGCTTTGTCATATTTCAAAAGGATCTCTGAAACTTTTAATCAATGGCCGATCTATTGCTGTTGGCATTTAGTACTTGTTTTTGCTGTAGCCTGTAACTCAACACACAGAGTTGATGTCATTGTTTCATAAAAGAATGATGATTTAGCAGACATTCAAGAATAAGCCTTTCTGGGTTTTTTAATGTGGTTTTAGAAATACAGAGAGTATTTTCAGGATTCAGAATTCAGGCAAGGCTGGAATTATCATTGTATTATTAAAACTTCTTGAATCTTGGGTTGAAGGTAACTTTCTCTCCTCTCTATGCCAGAAAAAAAAAAAAAAAGGAATACTTAAAATGATGAATGACATTCTCTTGCTGTTTTCACTGCTGTCATACATAGCTGTGTTATTTCTTGGTGTTTGATTGCCTACTGTAGGTAGGTGGATAATTTGCAGAATGCTTCTCAACTTCACAAATGGACAGGTGTTGCTATAAATAAATACTGTTCTGGTTTAGTTCATTTCAGCTAGTCTAGTTTAGCTTGCTCCAGTTGCTTGAAGTGAAACCTGTTCCTTTTGCTGAAATAATTTGTTTTGCTTTGAATTTGCCCACTGTCCCCAGCAACTGCAAATTAAACAATTCCTGTTTAAAAGTAAAAAAAGTCCCAAACTCGACTTATGTTAAATCCTGGGACAATGGGCAATTTCTTCCATAGTAATAGCAGATCCAATAGTATGTTTGTTCAGCATTATGCTGCAAGGGGAAGTTCTCATTAACTAGAGTGTGTTTTCAATTTGCTATTAAAGCTGCCCGATCCATTACGAAATATAGATGTTCTTAGTGGAAAGTAATTTGAGTGGCAGTTTAAATGCTAGGAACTTTTTTGAACCTACATATTTCTAATCAGGTTTGACCTTTTTTTGAATTGGGTAGTATTAATGGATGCTTTAATTTAATGAATAGTAAAGATTCATGTGGTAGTTCTTTTAAGCATTCTTAGATGTAAGTAAATGACCCTGACAGAGAAATCTGTTCATCATGTCTCTTTAAAGCATTTTTTTTCCATATAGTTTCATAAATGAAAACATATTAATGCTTAAAAACAATCAGAAAAATAATATTTTAGGATAAAGTTCTCCAGTGTTTAAATATTGAATTCTCTTGTTATTTTTGAGTATTGCTGGTACAAAGAATGTTGGCCCTGCCTCCTCCTTCTGGAAGCAAAACATAGTGTTTTCTAATGGAGCAGTGTCTCCTCAGATTTGAAATCCATGGCGGTATAGCTTCCATGTTGGTAAGTTATTACAAATAGCAGGGATAAAAAAGCAAGCTGCTGACTCGGCAAAAAAACCTGAACAACCACATTGGTTCAAAGTTAATTAAGTTTCTTTTTTTGTGATGCTCTTAGTTGCTTTCCTTAACTTAAAAGTGTTTTCAGTTTATAAACTACACCGCTTCTTCTGAGTTACAACAAACAAGTTATGATTTTATTTTTTAGGTTTAATTCTAAGCCTAAAGACTCAGGTAGTCTGAGTGTAGTGCTTTTCTGTAAGACAAAGAGGTGTTGTTTGTCACACCTAAAATCGCAATATGACTGGGTTTATCTCACTAAACATTGCATTCTGGTTGTGGTGGTAAATATTTATACAGTCTTGAATTTTTAGAAAGGAGTTACAAACAATACAACCAAGATCAAAGAACAACTTATTTTACTGTTTAATTCTTATCGCTTAGTGTGCTAGTATTGGGAAATGTTAGATGACATCTGTGGTAGCCATCACTACTTAACTGGTAACTAGGTAACATTCCTTTAAAGCTCCATTCATTTTTTTCAGTATTTCCTTTAAAAATACAGTTTTGAGTTAAAATTATTCTGAGATGGATAAAGATACACTTTAAAGTTTTATCTTTTACATAAATGGCTGGCCATCATTTTTCACTGAGGAAAAGAATCAGTGATAGCTTCTACCTTGTACTCTGTGTGCTGTGGCAGGTTGACAGAATATTTACATGATCTGTATATACTTCAGTGCAAGGAAGCTGCACAAAAATCACAGTGCAGGCAGAATACATACGTTTGAATCTTTTCTAGAAGTGTTTACAAGCTGGGGAAAAAACCTGTTAGTTCTTAGACAAGATGACTTGTCATGAAACTGCATAATTTAGTTAATTATTGCAGTCTTCCTGTGTAATGTCAAGAGATTATAGTTCTTGAGGTTTGGTTTGTATTTTTTTCAGTCAATTCAGCAAATGCTTCTTAAATCCAGGTAAAAAAGCAAGATTTTTCTTGTCTGGTACCTTGCATGAGTGGGCTTCAAGTGCCAGTTTTAAACTTACATTGGTTAGACCCTGTTTAACACTGGAGTCTTTCAATTTTGTGTAAACAAAACATTTAACTACTATTAGTGGTTAACTACTTTTGTGGGGGCTGGTGTTTGTCTTGTGAATCCAGAAGTAACTTTGAACAGGACAAATCTCTTCCAGTTACAAATCAGTTATATTAAGACTAAACTTGCTATAAATGCAAGAAGAAAATGTGTTTTTCTTCCCCAGCCATGTATATATACATTAAAATGAACAAGTTTAACATTCCACTTACGAGTTCATGGGTAGGGGAGGAGAGGGAGTGTTATATACAATTCTTAAAGTATGTTATCCAATAGAGTCCTGAGCTGCTGCCATGGCTCATGGAGTTCTGGACCACGGAAATTGGTTCAAGGTGACTCTTCTGACCCTTCTACTGTTCCCTGTAGAAATACCTTCATAACCTCTTGTGTTCTTAATTTTCCTATTGGAGGCTCACTCAGCTTGATCACCAAATTCTGTCCAGTCTGTGGTTTTGATTTTTATTAATATTTGTGACTGTTTCATTGCTTCTCTGCTCCAGTAATTTTTCACAGTTCCTCCATTTTATGTGTAACCCATTTTAGAACTTGGCTGTTGCAAATTTTCGTTTCAATGGATTTATTTTCTATTATCCTACTAACTGCTACTCTCCTTTCTCTGAGGATATCCTTATGGATAAGGAAAGACCAAACAATGCCTGAATGCTTAAGGAAAGGCTTCTTTATTAATTTTAATGTTTTAATCTTGTTGAGAGATGGTAGCTAACAAGCTACCATTGAATCACAGAGGCTTCTGAAGTAGTATTTTTACATCCACAAACTTACAGTTTTCCTCCTACTTGTTGGATTTAATGTGCTCTTGCTAAGCAGTGTAGCAAGTGGAGAGAAATTCTTTCACTCCAGATGTACAGATGAGAACAAATGTCATTTTTAAAGCATTGAGGTATTCTTCCTTCCTTTTTCTCCTGCTTTCCTACTTTAATTTTTAAGCTTTCTGTCATTCAGAAACAGAAGGGTGGACAATCTCTAAATTACTGTTGCTTTAAACTGTGACTCCCTCTTAATTTCTGCAGAAAGGATCTATCTATTTGTCCTTTCTCGTGTAGCACCACCCTTTAAGTCTTCTCTTTAGAAATACAGTTAAGTAGTGCATTGGTGTTTTCCAGCAGTATTTCTCCCCCAAAGAAGAGAAAGGGAGGACAACACAACTATTGCAGTGAACCACCTAAAGCAGTAGGTCCTTTATGAAGATGTGGATGATACGTGTGTATCAGTGGATCTTTAATGCTCTTTGGGGAGTTTGCATAGCTTTGGAAACAAGGAAAAATCCCTAGTACAATTAAGATGCCAACATATGTTGTGTAAATGAGCAGGGTTTGGGGTTTTGTTTTTTTTTTTTTTTGGTTATCTTGCCTGCGTCTCTAACGGATGGGGAGAATTCTTACCAAATTATCTCAGTATATGTGTATGCATCTGCAAGCATTACTGTACTGTGCTTGTGTGCTTTGTCTTATTTCTGCACAGCTGTTACTATTCTGTAAAAAACTGTTTTTACTGATTAGATAGAACTTCAGTTCTACCAGTGTTAAGTAATACCTAATTTTTATGAAGCAAAAGCATGATTTAACCTTTAACCATATGAGTAGCACACTTAATTTGAGAAGAAAGGTGTTTTTTCCTCAGGTTATGCAAATTTACTTTGCTGCTTTTTCACCCCAAATAAATCTGAGATTATCATTATCTTTTTACAGTTTTTCCAAAATACGGAGGAAATTGTTCAGTTGCTGCTTCCTACATGTACTTAAATGTCTCTAGTATTTTTAAATAAAATAGCTAATATATTAAAACCTGTTCAAAGAAATAATATTGAATAAAATGGAAAAGGCTTTCAGCTACTTAACATGGTGGAAAACTTATTTTGAAACTGGTTTAATGTAGAGATTGGTATTAGTTTAGAAAAATATTAAAAAAACAACCCCCAGACTTTTAAGATAACTGAAGTTGTGGTTTAATAAGATATAAACTCAAGTGCTGTATCCTTCTGGAGTATGTTTGGGTTCGTTAATGTTCTTTAGGTCATGTGCAATTTCCTGTTCCTTCTCATAATTTCCTGTTCCCCCCACCAAAAAAAAAAAAAAGCCAAAATACTTGATTGGGTTTTGAATTAAGATCTCTTTTTCTTTTTGCTGGTTATAGACATTAAAAGATTCAAGAACAGAAAGAAAATAAAAAAAAACATAAGGTGGTTTGCTCAAAATGGTGAATATATGAACTAGATGAGTTACACCAAATTAAGTGGAAAGATGAGTCACAGCTACATTTGCCGGTTTTACTTAATCTGCCCTTTAGGGGCAAATGTTTTAGTCTCAAGGCCACCTACCTGCCTTCAGTTCACCAGTGATGCCCCTGTAATTAGATTTGTGGTAGATAATAGAAGAGCCAGCTTCACACTTGATTTCTTTCACTCTATGGCACTTGCTGATTGACCTTTTCAAGGAGCTGTGTCAGTATTTATTTCTCTTGTGATGATGTATTCAGTGGATTTGGCTTCAGTTTCAATTCAGGCTATGAGTAAGAACCTAGTACAAATCCATTTTGCATACTGGTTCATATATATGTGACTCCAAAGTCAATCTTTGAGAAGAAAGGCCAGAAGAGAAAATTTCAGCTTCCTTTAAAGACCCTTTTTCTTTTTAAGCTGTACCTTTCCAGGGACTTTCTTGAGAGTCTGTGTAGTGAAAACAAACCCGTATGACAGTTGGAGAACTGTCTACCTAAATGCAGCGTATCAGCATCACCTAACACTTGATCTTACTGGATCTCATAATGGACATATGTGAGGCCAGTTCTTTCAGTATTTTTGTTGCTGATACTGTTTGTATAGCTTTTACTAGAGGGTTTGAAAATGCATATGAAGGTTAAAGCAACTGGTTAGAAATATTTATCTTAACTGTGAGGTGATTAGTATGTGTTTGTAAGTAGGTCTGGAAACACTATGCATTTGGTAAATGAGCTACTTAGAGCAGCCTGTGTGGTACGAGATCCTCCTTTGTGTAGTTTGCGTTTCTGGGAGATGGCGTGTTCCAGTTGGAGCTGCTGAGTACATGCTCACCTTGGAAGCTTACCAGGTTTGACAGGCTGGTAGTATAGAAGGTCTAGGAGATATTCTTTAACAACATAATCTAGATACGCAAAAATAATGCTTCTGGAAAAATTTGTTGTTTATGTAGAAAGTACTAGATGGAAGACTGACAGCTACATATGTGCTTTATGCTTTGAAGCCTTGGTGGTGCCTTAAGTATCAAATGTGGTAAATGAATCTTCACACCTGAGAGGTGAAATGTCAGTTGTGATTTTCACAGCAACTTTTTAGATTACTTTTATGATGTATTTTGAGACCACATAACTACAAAGTATTTCTTTTACCTTAAAGCCCTCACATTACCTTTCTAATGACTTTTCCCCCCCAAAATAGGAGGGAAGGACAGAAGAAGTGGCCTGATTCTGACAATTCCATTATGCCTTGAACAGACGAGTATGGACGAGCTGAGTGTCACACTAGACTACCTGCTAAGTATCCCAAGGTGATTTCAAAGGCATTCTGTTCAGGGCTGCCTTCTTTTTCAGTGGTGGAAGGGAACATTGTATTGGTGTTTCCTCTTATTTGCCTTTCAATACCAAATGAGTTTTACATAAATCTGTGTTTAAAATGTGATACTGACTGAACTAAAAACATTCCAGTAAACTAAAGAATATCTGCTAAGGCTTACATACGTCCTTTTATTCTGTGTGGCTGGCTTTAGGGCTTTTTTGTCTTGTGTATTTCCTCACTCCTTTCTGGGGATATCTTTGGTAATTTCTTTTTAATAACAGTGCACTTAAGTTATATGTAAATTAATGAGCCATTGTGGTGAAACTCCTAAGCTTGCAAAGGTAGCATTGCTCAAAGTAAAAAAGCTTCTTACTCTTTGCTATATGCCTAGTCTTTGTAGCTTGTAGTGCTTGTGTACACCGAGTCTAAAAACATATGAAGTCTTACCGAAGTTAGTGAGCATTTCAAATGTTTAAAGTTAAGATACTGCCTAAAGGTGCTGAGTCACAATTTGAGTATCCTGTCATCCAGACCTTTCTCTGAAATTATTGTTGATTTAAGTTCTGTGTGTGCAAGCTTATAGTGACAGTTCTTGGCCCTAACTTAGTTAAATGCTTTTTTTTTTCTTAAAATTCAGAGATTGAGCTTTTTTATGGCTTTGTTTTGTTCTGATGTGCCAATGATTTAAAAAGGAAAAAATCCTCTCAGATAAATGCTTTCTTTTCTATCCCTTTAAATTCCCCTTCTGGAAACAGGAACAATGGCATAACTAAAGCCTGTTTAGTGTACTTTTGTTTTATTGCAATCTATAAATGTTTTTAAACCACAGTTAAATGATCTGCGTTTTTTTTGTAGTTAAGACTCTTTAAAAAAATTCTGATTAGGGAAGAAGCAGATTAAATTTAGGTTGCTTACAAGTAAAATATCAGTAGGTGTATGAGTGTATTGCACATCATTTAGTCATGGAAGTTTCAGGGTTTTTCAAACAGCATGTCTTCTGTAAAGTGATGAAAATCTTGAATGGTCATCTGTGCAAGTCATCTTATTGACTTAAGGACTTGGCTGTATTTATGGAACAGATGCAGACATTATTTTTTTAGCAAACATTAATTATTACACAGTCTCATTCTGATGTATGTTTTTACATATATTAGCATAAAAATAATTCTGAAAATACAGCCACGGTACTCACTGTACTCTGTACAAACTGGGAAATCTGTTTGAAAGCAAAGTTCAGAGTTCCCACATCTAATGTTCTGTTTGTCAGTTGTGGAAAAACTGACCTCTCTTTTATGGTGACAGTATGGAAAAATCCATTGTTGTTTTTATTTGCATGTTGGTTTTTAGTGGGAAATGCAAACTTTTTGGCTTAAGTGCTTGCCTTTTTTGTTCTGGAAAGACTTGCTAAATAGCATTTGAAAAAAGGAGGGGTGTAGGGAGGGATGTTGTCCCAAACCCAGATAGCCGTCCAAGAAACGTTAATGATGTTTTTTTTCCTCTAGTTCTATGTGTAAGGTAACCTAATATGTTTAACTTTTAGGCCAGTTGTGCATGACATAGGTTGTAACTATAACTTGTGAAATTGTGCATTCTAGTGTTGATGGATAGCTCTGGTCAAAATTTGAGGCATAACTGTTTATAGTGTCTTGAGTAAATTTCTTTTGGGGGGTGTGTAGGGTGAGTGTGTGTGTGTGTGTGTGTGTAAAGCCTTCCTAAAATTTCAGACAACTTATTTCTAGTGTTTACTATTATGCTTTTCTTTGATGCTATTTAAAATTCTCAAATTCTGAAGAGGCCTTTTCAGAATCCAAGAAAAATAAAAGTGACAATGTTATGCTATTGTGTGTGCATACTAAAGTGGGCTTCCTTTGTTGTATTCTCTGTGTGGTGGCTCAAATCACCAAGTGTGTTTTTTTTTTTTTTAATTTTAACTTTCATACAACCATTTATGTTTGTGTTGTCTGAACTTTTCAGAAGTGGTAGCTCACTTCTGAATTTGGTTGTTTTGTTGGGTGTTCTGGGTGTTTTTAATAGGTTTAGTAGTAGACAAGAGCAGATCCTGATACTGCTAGATTACGTTGAGCTTAAGAAAGCCACATTTCAAGATGCTATAGTAATGCTATTCATCTTGTTCTTAAAAGTAGCGATAGTGTGCCTTTTGAGTTAATTCTGATCAAACATTGTATGCATAAAGCCTGAATGTTCAGAGTGCTTCCAGAAAAGTTATGTATGTGATCTTAGAGGTTCCTTAAAACCAAAAGCATGTATGGATTGGCAGCCAACTTTGTAATTATTTTTTCCTAAATAGACTAGTAAGGTGCCTTTTTCTTTTCTTTTGTATTTTTTAATTCCAAGATAAATTTGTCTACCACCCATACCTCGTGAGGCTCAGCTTAAATATGAAATGACAGTTAAATTTCTCGGTTGGAAACATAATGCTTACTGTTACATGTTCTTTGTTTTTTTGTAAGCTAAAGAGATCACAGAAGTGGCTTTGTTTTGTAATTGAAGATGTGGGTGCTAAAGATTACATAATGCTTTTGTACCTCATGCGAATGTCATGTATCTTAGTCACTTATAACTTTGCTGGACACAAAAATTTTAACCTGAGACATGATATCTAATGTGGTAGTTAATGCTAACATGGACTCAATTCCATGTTCTCTTCTGGCTGCTGCTGTTCTGGTTGTTAAGAAGGTAGCACCTCCCAGAGGTCGCTGCCACCCTTGAACACTGCCCAGGTGGTGTTGGGAGCACCTTGTTACCAGCTTCAGTTAGAAATGAGCCAGAGAGGTCTTTGTGGGAATGCATAGAGAGTGAGGAAAGTTTTCAGTCTTTTCTCCCATTTGGTACTTGAGCAGAAGTATCTCTGAATTTTTAGCTTTGCAGTAACTGTTTTCAGCAGAGTTTTTTTGTTTGTTTGTAGTATATGCGGACTCAGACCTTATTAGGAAGAGAAAGTTATGTCAGTCTCAAATACTCGATCCATACACAAAGCCTCTGCCCTTGTGGAGGCTTTTTGTGCACTGCAGTTTCTGATCCATTTGTTCAAGAAAGAAAGTTAAGCATGTTCGTATTGTTTCCTGCTTGGACACGCAACAAGTGTAGCTGTATCCTCAAATCTGTGCCAGTTCACAAGTAGCCTTGTGAAAACTGACATCCTTTTGTCTTCCTTATGAAACTGTAAATTGACCTCTTCTTTCTGAGGATTTTGTGAAGTTTATGCTTATGAAACTTTTTCAGAGTTGCTAAAGTTTAAATAAATGGTTGTGTTATGAAAAGCACTTCAGTGCTACTGAAAAATTGTAATTTGGAATATCTATTAATATCTTTGCACATTAAAATTGAAAGATATTTCTAAATGAGTAAACAAGGTTTATAACATGGTATTTTTATAAGTAAACCTATGTAGTTGTGTTCTTGGTAGAGTTGAAATCCAAAGGCATTGTGATATGACACTTGTTCGTGCATTTTATTTTTTTCTAAGTGTTTTTCTTCTTTTAGTGAGAAGTGTAAAGCTAGAGGATTTACTGTGATAGTGGATGGCAGAAAATCTCAATGGAATGTGGTAAAGACGGTTGTGTTAATGCTACAGGTAAATAAATTTTTATTTGTTCATAGTGGATTTATTAGTTTTATATATGTGAACCCAATAGCTATGTTACTGTAGAAACAATGATTTTTTTAAATTCAGAAATATACAGTTTATGGCCTTTTAAAATCACAGAATGTGGTTATGTGACAGGTCTGTGTAGGAAGAAACAATCTGAAAAGCAGATAATACACCTCACTCAAGTGTGGGACAAATTCATTACATGCTGAGAACACATGATTGTAGAACTTTTTCTAAAACAGAGTTTTAGTTAAAAAATACAGAAATATGCTCTTGGCATCATCAACTGTGAGTGGTAGGAATGTCTGCAGCAAACAGTTCACACTGATACTGCAGCTGAGCAGGTTCTTGTGCAATACTCTATACTACTTGGTTTCTTTTGGAACTGTCTATAGTTGATTTTGTTGTGCATAATGGTCCCAATGACAAATTATATTCTGGATTCTATATGAAGTAGGAGAAGGGGAAAAAAGTGCCAATTCCCAGTTAAAAAAAAAAAAATCATAACTTATTTTAGTTTTTCAGAACTGTGGGGTTATAATTAGGTCTTAATTCTGCTAAACAATATAGGTTATTTTCTGCTCTCAATGGTCAAAGGAGATGCAGGATACAGCACTGAATAGGTTAGAGTCCATGGAATACTGCCTTTCTTACTGCACAGATGATTTCTCTTTATCAGAGCAGTTTTTCTCTCAGACTTGGAAGAAGCCACAGAAAATGTGTCAAATATGAATAATTTCATTTTGTTGACCTGCTGACTCATTGTTGCTCCTGGGTTTTTAAGTCTGTTTCAAGGTGTCTTTCACCTGTTTTTGACTAAGATGGAATTCCTATTAATAGTTATAGTAATTGGATCTGCTATATTCCTATTATGATCTTGACTGAGCTTTCACTTCAGCTAATGTGCAGTTGTGACATTTAGTGAGAAGGTAGCTATTTGCCCATGCCCAGATTTCACTGGCTTCCTGTCAGCATGCTTCCTGCCAGTGTGAAGCCTGCAGAAACGTAAGTTGCACGTCTGTATCCTTAAGTTGAGAAGGAAGCAACAAAGTTTTTTTCCTATGTAAAGTAATCACTTGTGTACACCGTTTGAGATTTCTCCCTGCTTGGACACGCATAGTTCTCAAAGGTGTTGATTGGTCTAAACAGACACTGCCATGTTAAAAATATTGCCTACTTTCAAATAGTTTTTGCATATTCATTAAAATGGTGCAAGAATGAAATATCCTTTTTTCAGTGGTGTGATTTCTGAGTTGGACTTATTTACCTTTTTCAGAATTATATTTTTATATTTAAAATGAGGTATTTGAAGAGAAATCCCATGGGTTGTCACCTTTATGTCAGTACCGTGATTATCTAACTGTTGCTTGTAGCTATAGCTGTTGACTTGGGAGTAATCAAGAGTCTCTGTTCCTCAATCTGCATTCAGTGTAAGCACATGAAATCAATTTGGCAGATGAAATTACTGTTAGGCTGAGGAATGTTTTTCTGGTAATACTTTTATGAGTTAGTATGTGGAAATGTTAATGTTAAGCCCTTTCATTCTAGTTTAAGCAATATGTACTAGAGAACTATAGGACATAATCTTGATGTGATTTAATAACAAAGTATAAAATTATTTTCTAACTTCATGGTTACTGTTTCATTCTACATAGCAAATCACATTGGTAGAAAGCTTTGTCCTGAACTTTTTTTAAAACAATGTCAAAAATAAAAATAAGTCTGGCCAATAATTCATGTTTTTTCTATACTGATGTAGCATAGATTAATGGTTAGGCCTCAGGACTGGGAGGAAAGAGGTTAGGTTTACTTTTCAGTTCTGACACTTTTTTGTGATGAAATTTAGTGTAGTATACTACAAAACAAGATGGAGCCAACTGTGATGAATATGCAGCGGACAGTTTAATTTCTGTAAATTTTAAGTTTCTGAATAGCTGACATATTAATTTTTGTGGTAAATGAAGGTTTAATCTTGAAAGTTTTAATTTTTTCATTTGTTTTACAGAACGTTGTTCCAGCTGAGGTATCACTTGTTTGTGTAGTAAAGCCAGATGAATTTTGGGATAAGAAGGTTACCCATTTCTGTTTTTGGAAAGAGAAAGACAGACTTGGCTTTGAGGTATGTAGAACTTTTTTTTCTGCTTCAGTCAAAAATATTATTTCTGGAATACTAGAATAATTGGATGAAAATTAATGTCTCTAAAAATAGTTATATTCCAGATGCTTTGTAGATATTCTTAGTAAACCACTGTGGCCTTCTAACTTTTTTAATAAGAATATTAAATGAAGTAGGTCTCAAATTAGAAATGAGTGGCATTTATTTCTTTGCTCAGCAAGAGGATAAAGCTATTTGATTACATATTTTGGATGTTTTGGGTAAGAACTGTTGTACAGGGTTTAGTGTGAATGTTTTTTTCATGACTCTTTTGTAATAGACTGTAGATATGCATGTTGTATGGTGTCACTAAATCAGCAGTAACCATTTTGAAGAAAATCTTGCAGCTGTTGCATGCATCTTCTCTCGTTTTGAGAGTTCTCTCACATTGGTAATGAAGGTTATAGATCCCTTCAGTTTGCCAAATATAAGCTGATAATTGTTCTTAGCTTGTGAGGCTGAGCATGTACAAGAGATTACACACTAATGTTAGTGGTTCCATTCTTTAATCTTTTGGGGAGGTTAATGGAAACCTCAATTTTCCCTCTTTTTGAAAATTTTCTGTATGATCAATCTTTCCAGGCATTTTTGAAGTTAATCTTGTTTGAACTACAAAAGGCTTGCTGTGCTCACCAAATACTAAAATGTCTACTTGCTTTGTGCAAAGCTCTTAGAGACCATCTTTTTTTGTGAAAAGAGATTGGATGGAAAAGTGTTTTTAGCCTTGTCCAATGCTGTGTAATTCTTTCTGTTAAGATTATAACTTTCTTAAATGCTGCTGTAGAAAACTTAGTTCAGGGAAAATGGTAATTGGAAGGTGGCTGCTGAAAGGTTATGTAACTGCCAAATAATATAAACCCAAAGACTCTTATCATCCAGGTACCACACTTAATAAGACAAAATTCATATGAATTAACAGAATTGCATCAGAGTATACTAGAATAGGTAGCTTCATTTCTGGAAATAATTATTGCATGTGAAAGTCGTCTGAATGAGTGTGGAGGTAAGGAGTAAGATTCGTATTTTCAGTGAGATGACCAAACCTTTTTCTTCTAAAAATCTGCTTTGATTCCTTTCATTACTTTTTTTTTTGTAATCTGCTTTAGAGTCTTATAAGTAAGGAAATTCTGCATATTTGCCTTCAGGTTGTTTATATTACAGATGAAGATCATATTTTCTTTCTGAATAGTTCTTTAAAGACAGATTTGAAAAGTAGCCCAGGTGCAACAGAGCAATTCACAGAACCTCTGAACAGCCACTTGTGTGTTTGAAAATCTGCAGCCAGGAAGAAATTCAGTAGTAAAGGTAGTGAAGTGCCTGAAATCTTGCTACTGGAAGTGGTTCCTACTATGATAATCTTATGACTTGCATTACAGTTAAACTCTCTTGGGTTTCACAGATGTCTGTCTGTCCCTTCACCGGAATCCCTTGAGGGGACTGGCAAGGATGTGTGGTCAGAGTATATTTCTATCTTGAGGTTCAGCATGTAGCAGCTCAGTTATAGCTTCTTTAATTAAGAACATGAGTATGGTTGTGTCCACCTTTTATAAACTAGCCTATTATTTAAAAAAATGGAGCACATCCAAGATGAGAATTAAGAGAGATGGAACCAATCATCTGTACTCAAAAGGATGGTTTAAGAGCTTGTATTTAGAAAGTGACTCAAGTTTGCAATATTCAGTTTCACACAAATGCTTTCAGGACCGAAGTCCAGAGTGGCAGTAATAAAGGTGAACCCCGCTCTTTAGCAGTCCCTACTCTTTTTCCCATCTGCACACCTGTAAATATGGTCCTTGGACAAGTTCAGGAAGCCTTTGAAGTTGTAGTATAAAAGAATTCTGTACAGTGGCTGTTACTATATACATCATGGTATTGCCAGTTTGGAAATTAATCCTCTAGAAGATTCTTCTTGAATATTTCTTTAATATGACTCAGAATCTATTTCTAGACAAATAAGCAGAAAGCCTACAGAAAGTATGTTAATGAAGAAGGGATAATTTTACATGGCCACGATAATAAAAGGATTTTTTTGTTTGGCTTTAAGGATTAGCTAACAGTCATTAAATTATAATTCTGTAATGAAATTTAGTAAGCTTAGTAATTTTATGAAGCCTATTCTGTGCCAATGATGATGTTGGCATTGTTGGCATAGAGTATTGGAGTCGTGTAACTAAAGTTTTTTTTGTTTCTTTTTCTAAACTTTTTTCATTACTGAACCTTAAATGTTTCTTCCTGACCTGAAATTTTGACCTATGATTCTCTTAAATTAATAGTTCTGAGGTTTTAGGAAGAAGAAAGTAATTAAAGTTTGAGATGCATTTCATGTAAACATGTTTGGAAATGTGTCAATTGTAAGAAAGTAGTCAATGATGTATCATTTTACAAGAAAAATAGTCACAGCATTAAAACACAGTAGCTGTTTCCTAGGCAAGAGGAAAACTTCACACTTGTTTCTTAATGCCTCCTTGTATCTTGGCTTGATGCATGGGTAGATAGAAGTTTTTGTGAGTAGACGTTAATAATGGATAGTTGCTGAATTCTTACTTTGGTTGATAGGTGTTTGCTCTTGAGTTTCCCTTTCACCTAAGTCAGAAGCACTGAAGCAGGGTGAGACCGCTTGCTTGAATGAAGGGCTTTGGGGCAGTTGTCATCTAACTGAGGTTGGATAGTGAGCAGTTGTTGGTACAGAATTGCTTTGGATGTTTCTAAAGAGACTCTTGACACCATCGTAACTCATGGCTTCCCTTGTATCTTGTGCTTTCTTAGGTTTTGTGGAGCGTTTTTTGTTTGGTTCTGTGGTGGTGTGTTTTTTTGTTTGTTTTTTTTTTTTTCTGTGCAGTAACTCATATTCTTAAATGCATTCTTCATTAAAGGACAGGGGAAGCTGAGAGAACTGTAGGAAGAATCTTGTGCTTTCCCAGATAATGAAGAACCACCCTTGGTATTAGGCAAGCCTCTGTTCTTTACCATTCATTAACTCTTGGTTATCTGTTACCTGGTTGTGATTAGGAAAACTGGCTCAGTAGAAATGACCTACCTTCTCTGTGCTCCAAGTACTGTTTGTGTTAGAGAGTGGTATGTGTCTGCTCTAATCCTGATACGAGTGCAGAGCACTGATAAGGCTGTGGAAACCTCTAACTCATGCACAAATCTACAGCTGCATAATTGTATATTACTGGCAGTAAAAACAAAGCAGAGCCACACGTGTTTTGGATCACTGCTTAGATTTGCATGACTATTAGAAAAATCCGGGATGGCTTTTGCACCAATGAAATAAATATGATCTAAAAATGTAAATGAAAGTATGAAATATTTTTATTTACCTGACAGTGTAATCTCATTTTCTTTAAAGTAAATGCGATGTAACTGTGATTTCTGATTTTTAATGGGGCATCACATCTACCTCCTGTTTCCTGCTACCTGATCTATTTTTAATACCTTGCTTAATATTGTCATACAAAGCTATTAATCACTATGCCTTCCTTTCCTGTTAAAAGGCAGAGATTTTCTGCTTCAGAGTGAGATGCGATGAGTTGCAACTCAGTGAAAGTCAGTGTGGGAAAGGAGATCAAAAGGGTGGATAAGTATAAAGAGGTGGGCTGATTCAGCTGGGTGAAAGTGCATCTTTATTCCTGGTTAGTATTAGTGTTGGGTTTGGACCTGTTTTAGGTCAGTTCCTGTTCACCATCCAGCAGAGGAGCTGGATATACCATTCATACACCATTGATTTAAGGGACTGGGAGGAAAAGTAATCTCTCACCCTGGTTTAGGTATTAGATTAGTGCTTTGAAGATCCATTTGTTGAAAGCAGAGAAGAAGAAAGTGGGCTTGCAGTTCATGTGGAAATTATGGAGCAAAATTTAAAAGTTAATTTAGGATTGTGAGCTATGAAATCAAGGGCTTTAAGAAAGAGAAAGGAAAAAAAAAAGTCTGTAAACTACTGGGAATGTAATTAGAAAAATGAGAGTATATAACAAAAGAATCCTGATAGTCCTGAAGTCCAAAGTCAGAGTAGTTCTAAATGTTCCATGCTTGAACTGTAGCACTAACAACTCTGTTTGTAGCAATAGTGTCAGAAATTTCTTATGATGGTGTATCAGCAGAATCTGCTCTGGAAAGTTTCACATCTCTAATGTCAAGTCATCAGAGGAGTACAGAAACCTAAAAACCACATTTCTCCATGAAAATTTTCTGCCTGTCAACCTGCTTCTGGTCTCTATATTAGCATATCAGAATTGCTCTGAGAGAAATATTAGCTAGCTGACTTATTTTTTTCCATGTTATATAGCTGAAAAATAGCTAGTAAGATCTTGTCATTTGTTTAAAAGTATAGGAACTGTTTAACAATGAATACAATGGGAAAGGCTAAATCCTGTGTCATTAGACCAGTTTTTCACATCAGTCCCCAATTCAAATAAAAACTTCTCTGTCTACCTAAGTCAGTGCTACATACTTAAGTAGATACTTAGCTTTTGTAGAAGCTTTTGCTGTCTTTATTCTCAATGGGATTAAATGCCTGCTCTGTTATAGCAATCCTTAATGTTGCAAAATACAAAAATCCTCACCGTGAACACCTTTGTATGTGCTTTTTTGGTGCCATTGAAAACACCCTGTAATCCAGAGCTTTCTACTGTGTTACTACAGGAGGTTTTTATACTGATGTATTTTGAAATTAACTGTTGTTATGACATGTATCTTTATATCTTAGCTTTCAATGTTCCACTTGGAAATTACATGTGGCACAATCATCCCCAATTTACCTTTTGAGAATAATGCTAATAAGCAGAGTATTGCTCCACAAAATGAAGAATGAATAACACTTTGTAGGAAATCTTTTTTAAATCTGATCTTCCAGTCCAGTGTTTTTTAATACTAAGGCACCAAAATGTGTAGCTTTCATGGACTTTTTAAAAAATGCATATAGGAGTTCCAATTTTTTAATCAAAATTATGCTTATTTAAATG